GAACCCACAGTCCTGAGTTCATTGGATCCACCACCACTCGGAGGGGTCGGGGGGGGGGGATGATTAGCCCCATTTCACAGATGTGTCCAAGAGGCTCCGAGAGGCCATGGGCCTTGCTGAGGGCCACAGGTAGAAACACAGTGGCCAACCAGGACTGGAACTCAGGTGTCCTGGCCCCACGGCCATGTTCTTGTTACTACCCACAGCCCATTATGAGAGAACAGGCGCCCTAGACCTCCACTCTGGTCCCGAGGAGACTGCTTCTGCTCAGCAGGGATCGTGTCCTCACTCCCCTTGTCCGGCTCTGCCTCATCACTGTCCCCGAGGCCAGGTGGCCCGTCTGGGCAGGCGTCTCCCCCGTCTTCATGGCCCAGGCTTTGGACCCAGGGAGCCACTCCCAACCTGCTTCTGCCTGTGACTCCCAGATGAGGTCGTGGGTCTGCGGAGGCTGAGGAGGGGTCATGCATCACACAGCTAATTGGACTCTCGGGCTTAGTAACGAGGTGGGGAGCAATGACTGAACTTGAAGATGGAAAACAGGAAGGTTCCAGCTGTGTCCAGAAAGAGCTTGGGGACTAGCTGCCTGTGTGTGGTGCACTGTGCTTCCCCTCCACTTGGGGGGAGCCTCCCCTGCAGGGGCCCAGGACGTGTTTGCTTTGAAAGGTGTGCAAACAAGTGCCTGCCTGGGGCTGGCCTGATCTGAGTTTCTGTTGCTGAGCTGTATTTCCCCACCATGGTGGGCCTGTTTGTTTTTGTTGGTGCAGGGACAGTGGCAAAAAGGCTGACCTTATAAATTGTCACTGTGAGGGGCGCTGGCTGGCTTAGTCGGTAGAGTTTGCCACATGTGATCTCGGGGTTGTGGGTTCGAGCCCCACTTTGGGTGTAGACATTACTTAAAAAAATACAATATTAAAAAATATTGTCATTGTGAGAATCAGGTGACTAATGGCTGGTGTATTTTTTAAAACAGCTTTGTTGAGATATAATTACAGACCATCCAATTCACCCATTCAGAGTGCACATTTCATTGGCTTTTATATATTCACAGAGCTGTGTAACCACCACCACAGTCAACTTTAGAACACTTTTCTACCTTCAAAAAGAGACCCTGCACCCATCAGCAGTCCTCCCCGTTCTCCCTCTCCCTCCCAGCCCCTGGTAACCACTGATCAAAAGTTCTGTCATCATAGGTTTGATTTGGCACATTTTTGAGATGCTCATTAAATAGAAGTTATTAATGGAAGAAGTGCTAGATGTTTATTTCTGAGAGATCATTTAGAAGATCAGAGGCAACAAAGAGGTGATGGGTCTACCTTGCAGGGAGAGATTTATGTTTCAGAAAGCTCTTTTTTCCCTTGCATATTAGAAAAAAAATTCTGCATTAAAGAAAAATTCATGACATTGCCTGGAAGTGGTCTTTGCTAGCTGAATTGGAGAGCCTGTGAACTGGCTGGCTGACCTTCGTTTCTTCATCCCCGGATCATCAAACATTAACTTCGCCTCTCTCCTCCTGTGCCTGGCCCTGTGCTGGGTGTGGGGGTGGGGCGGAGGCAGGGGCTGCAGGGGACACACTGAAGGTCGTAGCTCACAAAACTAGGCCCCGGAGCCACATCTGGTCCACCGCCTGTTTTTGTACGGACTCTGAGCTAAGAATTTTTAAAGATGTATCAACAATATTTCGTGACATGTTTAAATGACATGAACCCACATTTCAGCACTCACGGATGGTCTCCCCGGGACACAGGTACACTCGTGTACGTACCGTCCCGGCTGCTTTCACGCTGACATGGCAGAGTAGAAATGTGGCGACTGGCCGTATTTAGGTAGAGCTAAAATATTTATTTTCTATTTGGACCTTTCCAGAAGGCATTTGGTGACTTCTGAGTGAGATGTGACCTTGCTCTTTTAATTTTTTTTCTTAAGATTTTAATTTTATTTATTTTTTTGAGAGAGAGAGAGAGAGCATGAGAGCAGTGGGGAGGGCAGAGGCAGAGGGAGAAGCAGACTCCTCCCCACTGAGCAGGGAGCCCGATGCAGGACTCGATCCCAGGACCCTGGGATCATGACTGAGCCGAAGGCAGATGTTTCGCCGACTGAGCCACCCAGACGTTCCAAGACATGACCTTGCTCTTGAGGGTCCACAGTCAAGTCAGGAAAAGGGAAAGTGGTAGATGGTCAATAACGGGCAGGAGCCAGGAAGCACGGGCAAGAGCTAGGAAGCACGGGCAGGAGAACAAATTCCTAAATTTTTAGGAATTTTGGGAGCATATTAGCTTGCTAGGACTGCTGTAAGGAACTACCACAGACTGGGTGGCTTGAACAACAAATTTATTTCCTTATGGTTCTGGAGGCTGGAAATCTGAGATCAAGTTGTGGGCAGGGTTGGTTTCTCCCGAGGCCTCTGTGCGTGGCTTGCAGACCGGCCGTCTCCTCTTGTGTCCTCACACCGTCGCCCCTCCCGTCTTTCTGTCCTAATCTCCTCTTACAAGGATACGGGTCAGATTGTATCAGGGCCCACCTTTATGATCACTTTAGTTTAATTACCTCCTTAAACACCTTATCTCCAAAACCAGTCACATTCTGAGGTATTGGGGGTTGGGACTTCAGCGTATGAATTTTAGGGGGACACAATTCAGCTCATAACACTGAGCTGGTTATTAAATACAGCCATTATTAAAAAGCAAATTATGGGGGGCGCCTGGGTGGCTCAGATGGTTAAGCGTCTGCCTTCGGCTAAGGTCATGATCCTGGAGTCCCGGGATCGAGTCCCGCATCCGGCTCCCTGCTCGGCGGGGAGTCTGCTTCTCCTCCCTCTGACCCTCCTCCCTCTCCTGCTCTCTGTCTCTCATTCTCTCTCTCTCAAATAAATAAATAAAATCTTAAAAAAAAAAAAAAAAGCAAATTATGTAAGCCTAAAATTAAATACATTATATTAAAGAGAAATGTGGGAAGTACTCAAACCCTATCTTACCACACATTCCTATCATCTGTGCTGCTGAGGCTGTTTATGCCTGTCATGTCTGTACGGTAGAAATAACTATATGACATATGGTAGAAATAACTATAGAACGGTGTATTGCTGAGCATTTGGTGGTTCGGAATCAGCTTTGGTGGGAGTATTTACACCATGGGAATTAGTAAGTGCTACAATTCAGCGTCCCTTTCTGGAGAGCTGGTTGTTAAACATTTACAAACACACCACTGCTACAGGGCACCGAGGGCTCAGACGGTCAGCCTGGGCCCGGTGGGGTGCAGAGGAGGATGCCAGGCCCTGGGGAGGCAGGGAAGGTTTCACAGACCAGGGGATGCCAAGTGGCACCTTGGAGCGTGAGTCAGATGTGCGGGAATAGGGGTGACCTGGGTTTGCAAAGCCCTGAGGCAAGAGAGGACACCCCGTATCTGGGGATGGAGGTCGATGGTGTAGGAGTCATCTGGTGGGAATCGAAGAGAATTGTAAGGGGTGGTTGGGCAGGACCTGGGGTGCCATGCTGTCTAAGAGCCTCTACTTGACCTGGCAGCCGTAGGGAGCCATGGAAGGGCCAGGAACTGGGTGTGGGGGCAGGGACAGGTAGTGAGTGGACCACTGGCTGTCAGTGGGTTTTTATTTGTGCCTCTGTGTGGAGCATGCATGCGAGGTACTGTGACTTGCTCTCAACGGGCCCTTTGCAGGTGGGAGGTTCTCCACCAATGCTCGCCAAATGGCTGCATCATCCCATTCATTTTGAAATCTTTAAAAGGGGACTCAGCCTTCCATCTCCAGTTAGAGTTAGAGCTGGAAATAATCTGAATGCCGAGCAAAAGGGGAATGGGTGTGCGAGTTATGTCCTATCTCTAAAGGGCGTGCTAGCCCGTCATTATAAACGGTAAATAAATGAAGGTCATGCAGCCACGTGGAGAGCAGCTCACAGAATACCGGAAAATGAAAATAGCAGAACATAAATTCTGTGTGTACCGTGGTTACAATGACATAAAAATATGTGTACATATGGGTAAAAACAGGAGGTATCGCAAATGGAGAAATGAAAACAGTTGTCTTGGGGAGGTGGGAGTGCGTTTTTCTTTCTGTTCTGTTTTTCTGTTTTAATTTTCCTGTAATAAATATTGAAGAGCGGTTGTGGCAACTCAGGCAGCCGCTCCCCGGGCAGATGGCAGGTGCCCCCCGCCCCCAGTGCCTGGAGGGCTGGGCCAGCCCTGCAGCTGTCCCCAGAAGTGCCCTGCAGCGTGCAGGCTGAGTCACGCAGATGTCACGGCCCCTCGCAGGGCTGTGCTGGTGATTCACGTGTGCGCCCACTTCTGTGCAATCACCTCTGGATGGTGCTCGGGAGGCTGAGGATCTCACCGGAAACCGGGAGCCAGTTGCTTCCGTCCAAAATGGCCGGCCAGGGGGCCAGATCTGAAGCCCCTCTCAGTTCAGAAAACCCTGGGCTCTGGAGCCCAGCGGACCCAGCTAAGTCCCGCTCCGCTGCTTGTGAGACATTCTCCTGGGCCCAGGGGTTAAGTGCGCAGGTGGCAAAGCCAGGACCTCAGGTGTGAGGCTGTGCTGGGATGACGTCCCTTCTATTCATGTGGCCTCCCTGGGGAGACTGTCAGCCCCCGGGGGCAGGATCCATCTTCTTTTGCATTCCTGGTTATGCCCCAGAGGCCTCAGCTCTCAGAGTATAGATGGTTCCTGCTTGTGTCTGAATGAAGGGGGCCTGGTGTCTGAGGCCTGGTCTTGGAGTCAAGAGAGCATGCGATTAAGGGTCCGGTGTCCCAAGATCACACAGAGGAGGGTGTGAGTAGGTCTAGGGAGGGAGGGGGTAGAGAGCAGGGGAAGGACCCCTACCTGTTCTTGTTGGGAAGGGAAGAAGGAGGGGTTGGGGGGTAGTGCTGTTCCAGGGCCAGAAACAGGAGTGCACACAAGACAGAAAACAGTCGGGAGGAGGGGTGAGGCGTGGGTTGAGAGGCCGTTCATTTGTACGTGTTTACTGAGCGCCCTGCTATGTGTCTGCTCTGCTCAGGGGCCAGGAAGACAACAAAGCACAAAGCAGATGAAGCCCAGGCCCTCGTGGAGATTGTGCACTGACGGGGGACGTGGGAAACCAGCCAACTAACTGATGTGTGGTAAGTCAGGGGAAGGAAATGGAAGTAGGGAGGAGGCGGCGGGCAAAGGGCTCATGCTTTTTCATGTGGGTAGTCGAGGAAGAGCTCTGAGGAACTAGAGGAGGAAGTGGCGGACAAACCACATGGTTAGCAGAGGAAAGCTTGTTTTAGGCATTGGCATTGCAAGTGCAAAGGCCCTGCGGCAGGGACATTTTTGTTTTTGTGTGGTGAGAGCAGAGTGAGGGATGGGGTTGGGGTTGGATCAGTGGGGGGGGGGGGGGGGTGCACAGTGGGTCTTGTGGGGCCTTGTAGGCCCAGGTTGGGATTTCATTCTGAGTGGAATGAGAAGCATGGGAAGTTTGGGATTAGCCTTACCTTTTCAAAGGTGCACTCTTGTTTCTGTAGGTCCGGTATCAGTTGGCATGTACCAGTGGAAGCCGGAGCCTTGCTCGGAGGCTGTCACAGCTGTCCAGGTGAGAGGTGGTGGAGACTTGCAGGGGTAGTGAGGGGCAGGAGTGGAGGTGGCAAGCAGGCCAGGTTCTGCCTGGGTTGGAAAGACAGCTGGTGGGATCGAATCAGGGGTTGCCTGTGTGTGAGAGAGGAGTCAGAGGCTTCCAGGACTCCAAGGGTCCTGGAAGGATGAGCTCAGTTTGAGCCTGAGCGGTTTTATTTGGGGGAAAGGACGAGGGAGAAGGGTGGGTAGGGTCGACATTTGCAACCAGTCAGCCAGCCCTGCCAGCATACCAGGCAGGGGTGGGGGGCGCAGGGGTGCGGCCCCTTGGAGGGTTTCCCAGACACCACATCTGGGCTTCTCTATCCTTCCTGTGTTGCATCCTTGGGAGGTGACACCCTTTCCCCATCCTGTTCCGTCTCTGCAGCTACTACCACCTACCCAGGTCCCTTCACGCCTTAGTTCCTGCCGTGTGACTTCCTCCCCATCTCACCACTACCCTGCGTCCCTGAGAGCCTGAGACCTTTGCTTTCTTTCCCCCAGCATTTATGTAGTGCTCGCCTTTTCATATACTGACTCATTCACCCCTTACAATATCCCTTCATAGTTGAGGGACCAAAGGCACAGAGGGGTTGAGCGCTTGCCCAAGGTCACACAGCCAGTTAAGGGGAGGAACTGGTACTTGAGCCTAGGCAGCGGGGCAGGCTGGTTCCAGAGTGGCTCTGAACCTTTATGTCCGTTGTGCCCCCTGTGTCTGTGACTCCCCTTCAGTTCTCACTGGGGTCCCTGGCTCCGGGATCCCATACCTACCCCTCCGGGCGTCTCCTTCCCAGTCTTCGCCCTCTGCCATGCCCCGCTCCCCACTCCTCTTGCTCCTGCAGGGTTTTCCCCTGGGGCCTTTTCACACTGGTCTGTGGAATTGCCCCTCTCCCCAGTGTAGTTTTTGAGTTGCAGACCGAACATTCAACTAGACATGTCCACTTGGGCGCCCCACCGACACTGCCCCAAACTGCACCCCATATGCTGGTCATCTGTTGGGCGAATGGCACCCGGGCCTCTAGGAGCTAGGTCGAAGAGCCAGGTGTGGGCTGCTATTCCACGTGTGGTCAGGAGGGGGAGCCTCGCACCCCTCCTTCGCCCTCACCGCCCCCCAGTGCCACCTGCTGATCCACTCCCAGATGGCGCCCCGGTGCAGCCCCATCCCCCTGCAGATCCCTATGGCCACACTCAGGGGCAGGCTGCCCGCACCCACTCTTCTTCCTCTAGTCCCTTATCCACACAGCGTCTAGAATGATCTTTCAGAAAGCAAATCAGGAGGAGCCACTGTGTTGCTAGAGCCCTCAGGGCGCCCCCCCACTCCTCAAGGTGAAGCCCTCATCTGCCCCAGCCCAGGCACCCTGCTGGCTTCACCTTGACCGCACGCGCGGACCCTCCCTGAGCCTCAGGGCTGCGGACACCCTGTTCCTGCGGCTCCCTACCGTGCCTGGACCTTGCTGCCCGTCCACCTGCCGAACTTCGGGTTCCAACCTGGAGACCATTTTACCTGACCCCCCCCACCGCCGCCCAGCGGGCTGGGTTAGGGGTGCTCTCTGTGCTCCCCTGGCCCGCAGGAGTACCTGCTCTGAGTCTGCCGTGCAGAATGGGACCAGTCTGCCACTTTGCTGACCTTCCCCCCCAACCCCCTGGGTTGTGAGCCCCCTGAGGCCGGGGACGGGGTCTGCTGTCCCCACAGGATGTTCAGCTAGCCCCCGACACGGGCACAGCACTCTGGATTCTCTTCATAAATGTTTATTGAATGAATGAGTGGATGCGGGAGCAAGTGAGTGACCGCCCCGGGGGAAGTTGCCGTCTGTAGCAGGAGGGTCATGACAGTGGGGATTAAAAGAGAGAATGCTTGGGGCGCCTGGGGGGCTCAGTCGGTTAAGCGTCTGCCTTTGGCTCAGGTCATGATCCAAGGGTCCTGGGATCGAGCCCTGCATCAGGCTCTCTGCTCTGGAGGGAGCCTGCTTCTCCCTCTGCCCTTGCACCCCCTCCTGCTTGTGCTCCCTCCCTCTCTCTCTCTCTTGAAAATAAATAAAATCTTAAAAAAAAAAAAAGAGGTGATGCTTTGGAGCCTCTGGCCCCTGAGGGGGTGGTTGGTACATGGGGCGCACTTCCCAGCTTCTCCTCCTCTCCCCTGGCTGCCTGGCTAACCCGGGAGTGGTTGCAGATGTTAACTGACCATCCTGTCTGCTCCTTCACAGAGCCTTCTGGAGACTGTCCCATAACCCTGAGCTGCAGGCCTTCCGGGCCCAGGACCCTAACCAAAGGCGGAATCCTCAGGGCATACTGGCTCTTCCTTCCACCCGTGTCCCTGGCTCTGGGCCGGGCTGTGCTCCCTTCCGAGGACTCAGAGAAGCCAGGCATCTCCTTGGGTGCTCCCAAGGTCCAAGACGAGGTCTTGTGTCTACTTGCTAATGCACAGTTTATTCCTCTTCCAATTTTCTCTGGGACCTGTGCTTGTCCACATGTTTCCGTGGTGTGGTGGGAAGTGAGTCTTATGGGGCTAATGGCTGCATGCCATTTGGCTTCGCTGTGCTTCTGGAGATTCGGGGGGCTTAGAGCTGGGGCTCCAGCTGCGCACGGCTGCCTGCCTTCTTGCGGCATTTAGCTTTTGAGCCCGGCGCCTTCCTTGGCCCCAAACATGTGAGTGACCTCATGACTCTGGCCCTTCAGTGATCCCCGACAAACTCTTCCAGCACGTAGGTGGAATTCCTATTTTTAATAGCCAAGTTGTTGAGAAGTTGTAGGGCTTCTACTTCCTTTTGAACAGAAGGCTTCCAGAAATATTTATACCTTAGCTTCTCCAAAATCTAGGAAGTTATCCCGGCCCAGAGGAGGTCAGCAGGTGGCGTGTGGCGTGGGATCACCTAGGAGACGGCCCCAGTGACATCACGCTCGGCTCACTCGGTCAGGCTGTCCAGTCCTCTCTGTCAGCTGAGCGCCGAGGGGGCGCGCCTGGCCCTGCTCTCTCCTGGGTGTGTGTGTGGGGGTGAGGGTGGACAGGAACCAGGTCTTGGGGGCTTTCAGTGTCATGCTGAGGGATCTGAACTCTGTCCCTGAGGCCGCAGTGAGTTTTAGCGGAGGAGTAAGCAGATCAGATGTGCATTTCCAAGAGGCTGGAGGGAGTGGATTAGAGCTGCGTTCTGTCAAGTCTTTCATTTTGCAGAGGCCCGTGTACAACCTCCCAGGATGCCAGGACGCAGTCACTCCAGCCATGTGCAATGCATTCCAGCGTTTTCTATTCTACTCTGTTTCATTTGTTTTTCTAAAAATACTGTTTGCAACCGTCTGCATTGATTTCCTGTCTCCCTGAACGTTTTTGATCTGCAGTTTGAACAGCGCCGGGTTGGAGGGAGGAAGCCCGGGCAGAGGCTGCTGTCTCTGCCCAGCTGGGAAACTGTGGGGGTGGCAGTGCCGGGCCTGGGGCAGACAGGGAGGCTTCCATTGGGGCGGTCCTCGGGCCCCGGGGCTGTGCGCAGCGCCTTGAATCCGTGGGCTCAGCGTACCCCCTGCAGGAGCCGTGGAGCAGCCCCTGAAGCAACCAGAGGGGCCCGTGATGGTGTTGTGTTGGGGAATCCAGAAGCTGTGCTTTCATAACTCAGACATGCTGCGTGGTGTCTGAAAGTCATTTCATTAAATGTCGCATGGAATCAAAATAGAAATTACATCTTTGGGACAAAGCCCATTGAGCCAGGAGCCAGGCATTCTGAATTGGACCCAGAATAGTCTCACGGAAGCTGGGACCGTGGATCCAAGGCAACCCTTGTCGACACGGCCAGCCTCCCCCGCCCCCCCCCCCCCCCCCCCCCCCGGCTCACACTTGAATCCCCAGATGCGGCATGTGGTCCTGGAGCCCAGTCGACTCGCAAGAATCAATGCGGCTGGGGTGGGGGGGTAGGCAGTGATGACAGCCCCCCTTCATCACATTCCTAGGTGGCCATGCCGAGCTGAATCGTCATGTATATTATCCCTGATCCCCACCTACTTCTGGGAGGTACACTTATTATATTTGAGGAGGCTCAGGGAGGTCAAGGTAGGGGTCTGAGGTCGCATAGCTGGCAAGAAGCTGGGTTTGAACTCCAGACCAGCTCCCACAGTCACTTCCTCTCCTGCATCTCCCCTGTTGCTCTGGTTCTTGCAACTAGCTGACCAAAGTTGAGGGACATGCCCAGATGAAAGCTGGGGGAGGGGCTTGGGCCTTGGCATGTTTGAGGCTCCCTGGCAATCTTAACATCGTGCTAGCTGGGGACCACTGCTCTGGGAAGGGGCACAAGTGGCCTTTGTATCTGCCTTCCATCCCAGCCTCTGCTGGGTGGTGTGTTCATTCAGCCAGTGCATGAGAAGGACCCTCTTCTGGAGGCCTGGTAGCCCACACCTTGCAGCCCTGAGTGCATCCCCCGCCCTCGCCCCCCACCCCTGCCTCCATGGGTGTGCTCATCCCCCCACCCCTGCCCTTGTGTGTGCACTCATCCCTCTACCCCTACGCCCAGGTGCATGCTCATCACCCCACACCCTGCCCCCGGGTGTGTGCTCATCCCCCACCCCCAGGTTTGTGCACACCCCCCACCCCGCCCCCAGGTGTGTGCTCATCACCGTCCTCCTGGTCCCCCCCTTCCCAGGTGGGCCAGGCTTGGAGGGCAGGAGAACTGGGGTGGGGTAGGGTGGAGCAGGCCCTGAGGGAGTGCCTGGTGAACCCAGAAGGGGAGGGAAGAGGACAGGTGGGGAGGGCACCCACTTTGAGCCTGGGCGGAGGGAGGGGTATACCGGAAGAGTGAGGAGATGCCCAGGGGCTGACTTCCCAATCCGTTACTTTTGACCCTTATGCATGTTCTGTCCTATTTTTCTTAGGTTGATTTTGTTCTTTTTCTGACTTCCTACTTTGGACACCTAATTGATTTCCTCTTTTTTTCGGGGGGGGGGTCTGTTTATTTAAATGTAAGTTTTTGAGACTATGGATTTTCCGGGTGCCTGTGTGGCTCAGTCGTTAAGCATCTGCCTTTGGCTCAGGTCATGATCCCAGGGTCCTGGGATCGAGTCCCACATTGGGCTCCCTGCTCAGTGGGAGGCCTGCTTCTCCCTCTCCCACTCCCCCTGCTTGTGCTCCTGCTCTCGCTGTCTCTGTCAAATGAATAAATAAAATCTTAAAAAAAAAAAAAAAAGACTGGGTTTTTCTCTGAGGACTTGTTTAGCTGACTCCTATAGAATCTCACATGCAGGTTTTCATTATTACTATTTCTAGACCTTCTGCAATTTGGGTTTGGACCGCTTCTTTGACTCATGAGCTAAAGACTTTTCCTGCCTCAAGATTTTGTCATTTATTTTTAATATAATTGCACAGTGATTCTAGAATGTTTTATGTTGTTGCTGCCCTTTGGAATTGGGATTTTCTCCTTGTTTTTCTGGAGTGATTTCCTTTTCCTTTTTTCCAGCTTTATTATGGTATAAATGACATACAATAAGCTGTTCATGTTTAACCTGTGCTGTTTAAGAAGCTTTGACATATGTACAGACCCATGAAACCATCAAGCTAATGCATGTCTGCGTCACTCCTGGTTTGCTCTCACCACTTTGGGATTTCTCCCTTGGGTTCCTCCTTACCCTCACTCTGTCCCCGGGCCACCCCTTAGCTGCTTTCTGCCGCTGTAGGTTAGCTTGCATTTGCTAGAATTTTATCTAAATAGAGTCTTATAGGGGCACCTGGGTGGCTCAGTCAGTTAAGTGTCTGCCTTCAGCTCTGGTCATGATCTCGATGTCCTGGGATGGAGCCCCACATCAGGTGCCCTGCTCAACGGGGAGTCTGCTTCTCCCTCTCCCTCTGCTCTTCCCCCCCCTGCCCCCTGCTCGTGCTCTCTCTCTCTCAAATAAATAAAAAATCTTTTTAAAAAATGGAGTCTTAGAGCATATTTTCTCTTTTGTTGGCTTATTTCACTTGGAATTATTTTGAAATCCATCTACTGGTTGTAAAACCAGGGTCTGTCCCTTTTTATTGCCGGGTAGTATTCCATATCGTGGATGCACCATATTTACTTATCCATTCAGCTGTTGATGGACATTTGAGTTTTCCCCCTTTTTGGTTCTTATGAATAAAGCTACTATGAACATTCCTGTAGAAGTCTTTTAGGGACATTTGCTTTCATTCCTCTTGGGTAAATACCAACGAGCAGAAGGGCTGGTAAAGAGTAGGGGTATGTTTAATTTTTTAAGAAATTCCCAAACTGTTTTCCAAGTGACAGTCCATTTACATGCCCACGAGCATGTGAGAGCAACAGGAGAGTTCTAGCTGCTTCACATCCTCATGTGCACATTCTTAAATTTTAACCATCCTAGCGGGTGTCCAGTGTATCCCCTGGAGTTTTAATTTACATTTCACCGATGACTGATGACATTGAGCATCTTTGCATGTGCTTATTTTTCATACATATATCTTGTTTGGTTGACTGTCTATTCAAATCATTTGTCTTGGGGAGCCTGGGTGGCTCAGTCGGTTAAGCATCTAACTCTTGATCTCAGCTCAGGTCTTGATCTCGGTGTCGGGAGTTTAAGCCCCGCAGTGGGCTCCACACTGGGCAAGGAACCTACTTAAAAAAAAATACAACCCCCCCCCCACACACACACACAACAAATCCTTTGTCTTAATAGGTTGTGTTGCAAGGATTATTTGTATATTCTGGATACATGTCCTTTGTTAGATTTGTAAATATGATTTGTAAATATTTTCTCCAGTCTGTGCCTTTCCTCTTCATTTTCTCCACCTTGCAAGGTTTTTAATTTCACTGAAGTCCAATGTGCTTTGTTTTTTTCTTTCTATAATTAGTGCTTTTGTGTGCCCTAAGAGATCCTTCCCAACTGTAAGATCATGAGGGTTTGCTCCTCTATTTTCTTCTAGGAGCTTTGTAGTTTTAGCACTTACATTTAGGCCCATGAGCCACTTTTTAGTTAATTTTCGTATATGGTATGAGGTAAGAGTCATGGTTTATTTTTTGCATGTGGATGTCTTTGTATTGGCTTCAGAAAGGAGAAGTAGAAGGTTCCAGCTCCTCTGCTGTGTTCAGGCTACAAGGCCCCATCCGATGGGGCTTCCTTAAATCAGCAAGTTTACATTCTCCAATGGGGTGGAGTCTTGTGAAAATGGTAAAATATATTAGAGAGGAATAAATAAGCTAAATGTTTTGCATATCTGAGTGTCATGTGTTAAATTGCAGCCTGGCTCCATGAGACCTCCTCCTGCTGGGTTTTTTCGTGTCTGTGTTTGTGGTCAGCAGATGGAAGGTACCCGTTCCTCCATCCATGCAGCCGGTCAGCTACAAGGCTTCCCCAGAGGAGTGGAGAGGACACGGCTGGAATCAGCTTGAACCAGTGTGTCAGCCATTGGGCCCGCCCTCTTCCTTCCCGGCCTCTCCAGCACGTGGGGTTTCCCCAAGGACATAGCAGAGAGCTCTCCCAGAGCCAGAGTCCCCCAGCTGTGGGAGCGATGCCGAGCCAGGATTATGTGACCCCTGTCATGCCCCCAGAGAGGAATAATTATGCCACCAGATTCTCACAACATAAACTCTGCTTTAAGGATAAGGAGGTTGAGCCCAGAGAGGTTGTACAACTTGTCCAGAGTCACACGGACAATCTTCTAAACCAGGCCGTCTGACTCCAAAGCCCCTACCCCACACTGCTTTCCAAGGACTGGGGTGTTCTGGCCAGGGTCTGCCTGGGTCTATGGGTAGAACCTGAAGGCACCCCAAGGAGCCTCTCTAGACTTCGGAAATATAAGCACTCAAAGCTAAATTTCATGTCAGCTTATAATGGAACAGAGACATGCACAGTCTTAGAGGGAGAACAGCTCCCAGGCCTGTAAGACCTAACGGGAGGGGAGTGACTGCTGTGAGCCAAGAAAAGGTAGACTGGCCGTGGGGTCCAAGATGGGGGGGCGGCCGTGTTTCCTCTGGGATTAGGCACACCTGAGTCATCAACTCCCCCACCCCCCACCCCCGGGTCTGTTTGCCACCTGGGGAGGTGCTTAGGAAGAGAGAATGGAGGTGCAAAAGCCAGGCCAGTTCATTCATCCATTCCCTCAGTAATGATTCGTTGAACTTTGACCATGGGAAAGGGACTGCTTTGAATTCTGGACTTCAATAAAAAGCAAAATTGAAATGAGGGGAGTTTATGAGCTCAATCCATTGTCTATACTGGGATTTTCCCAAAAGCCCCAAGGTGAGGGGTTACAATAGAAGTCAAGAGGAAATGGGCAGTGGACTTGGCTGCAGTGATGGGAGGTGGAGCCTGAGCTAAAGCAGCATGGGGGGCCAGGACAGCCTCACCTCTGCAGGGGTCAGGAGAGGAGAGCCACACAGAGGCCTGGTGCCTTGGGACACGAAAACCCGGTGATCCTGTCCAGAGAGAGGCCCAGGGTGGTGGATGAAGGCAAGACTGCATCTCTGGAAGAAAATAGTCCAGCTCTTGTCACAGCTCAGTTGCTCATTGTCAATGAAAAAACATGGCTTCTGGTTTTATACATCAGCCATGTGAGCTTGGCTAATGTGAGTCTTCCCTGTAAGCTAAGCTGTGCTCTGGTTCTGGCACTGTAGTGAGGTTTCTGAGTTGGGTCAACTGCCAAAGGCCTCAAATGCTATCTCATGAGGCTCTTGGCAGTCAACAAGCCAGTTTCAGTCATCAGCAATGTAGCTGGTCGTGTTTAGTTCAAGCACAAAGATCGTGAAGCCTAGCAATCAAAAGCCAGATGAATTCCATTAACCCAGGCTTTTCACCAGCCTTGCAGCCTGGGCCAGGGCAGGGGTCATGATGTGGGTTGGGGAGAGATCTACATTAGCCAAGCTGTCCCTCCTGTGTACCAGAAAAAGTGCTACCAGGGGCTGGGTCATGTCTTCCTGCAGATATGTGCTGCTTGTCTGCCGTTCTGAACACAGGACCACCCAGTTCTTGCCCTGAGGCCCTGGGGGGTCCAGAGGGCCTGGGGGGGGGTGGCTGGAGAACCGTCTCCCCATGTGTGAGGGTGGGGAGGTTGGCCCTGCCCTGCGCTCACCTGTCGGGACTTGGCTCTCTTTGTTTTTTCTCCTGGTGGAGGGTGGTCACTGCGGGCCGGATTTCCATAAATTCTGTAAATTGGATATTCAGTCTGTTAGGAAATGTGGTTCTGGATTCCTTTGTTTCTGGAAGTTTTGACAGAATGCACAAGGAGCTAGCTGAAATTGAAACAAAATTGTAATCACCAAGTTAATGACTATGACAATACAAATAATCTAACAACCGCATTAATGCAATATTAGCTCTCATCATTATACTAATAATCTGCTCACAGCAATCCACAAACAATTGGTTGGGGAGGAATGGTTCACTGCACGGGAGGACAAATTTTGGGGGAAGTCTCAGAATTTTCTTCTGTGATCTGAGAAGGGAGAGAGGAGCTCAGATTTCTGAAGTGCTCATGGAGGGACCAGGATGCAGGGGTGACATAGGACAGTCCCGCCTCGGGGAGGTGCCCAAGCTCACATGGTGGGGACAGCTTTAAGTGACTGTAGAGTGAAGTGGCCTTGAGAGGAAGAGGGTCATAGGGAGGGCTTCCTGGAGGCGGTGGCATGAGCTGAGCCTGGAAAGCTAGTTAGGATTCATCAGGTCTTGTCCCCTTTCTTCACCCCTTTTCTCAGGAGTCTGCTTTTGTCCCCCTCTTTACCTCCAAAATGCTCTTAGCAAGTGACCTTCACGTTGCCAGA